TCAATGCGAAAGTTTTGTATGACTTTTGCCAAAAACACGTAGATTTCCATTTCGGCGAACCGGCGGCCGATACACATACGCGGGCCGTAACCAAAGGGCAGCACCAGAAACGGCGACCTCTTGCCAGTCGCCGCCGCCGGACAGACACCGCCACCGGTTAGGGAACCACTCGTCTTAAGCCACCGCTCGGGTACGTAGGCCTTGGGGTCGGGGAAGTACTCGGGCTGTCGAGACGCCACCTGATTCTCGGTAATAATTTGCGTGCCTTTGGGCACCCGATAGCCGGCGATCGTCATCTCACTGGTGGTGACCCTCCCGACGCCGAACGCCACGGGTGTCAACCGCATCGTCTCTTTGACGCACGCCTTCAGGTAAGTCATGCGCGCCAACAGTTCGGGGGTTAGGGGTGTGTCGCGCGTCGGTAGTATTGAGTCGATTTCTTGCCGTAGCCGGTGCTGAGCGCCGGTATTGCGCGACAAGTGATACAACGCGAAGCCCGCGCTGAATGCCGTGGTGTCTATGCCGGCGAGGAATAGGTCCACAATCATAGCGAACAGGTCTTTGCGGTCGATGTGCGGGTCGCTTAAGAAGTGACTCAATATGGATGTCTTGTGGTGATCATCACCGGCGCTGTTATTATCACTCGACCCCTGGGACGCGGACTTAGCGGATAGGTATTTGTCGATAATTTCGGCCATAGTGTCCTGAGCCGACACCAGACTCTTGTAGTCGCGAGTGTCGGACGTCTGCCACGCGTCCGTCATCTCAGTCCTCATCACCGCCTCATTGGTCTCGTGAGCGGCGCGTATCAGACGTTTGACATCGCTGTCATCGGCCAACTGATCCGCGTATAGGCAGCCGAGGCGCGAGTCGAGCGCCAGTACACCGGTGTTCTCGAGCGCCCACAGGTACAGGTCATTCAGAAAGTCGACCATCTCTTCGCGCGCGTCGCGTTTGTCGCGTATATAACGGATCAACTGCGCGGTGATTGTCTCGCATTCGCCCACATAGTAGCCGACACTGGCGGCCGACATCAACCGCTGCTGAAACTTGCGCCTCAAGTCATACCATTTGACGCCGTTCTCGGGGAACAGACCGCCCGACGAGTACAGGTGCGGCCGATCCGCGCGGTACTTGAGTAACGCCCGGTGCGACCGGCGACACGGGTAGCGGCCCTCCTGTCTGAACACCGCTTCCATGTCTTTGGGATCAAACACGTGAAGTATTGTCAGATTCTTGTCGATCACTTCGCGCACCACTTTACCGTACTTCCGGAGCTTGAGCTCTGAGTTGACGTCCATTTCGTGTATTTTGTATTCGCCTTAAGAAGTGATAGCAAAGAGTTTGTGACTACTTATGGATCAATTGGATTAAGTGGTGATCAAAGAGTTGCCGTACCGATTAGCGGCAGATATCGCCATTTGTTGCCAATGGCTGGCAATGGTTTTGGTCCCGGGATGGCGTCGAACGGCTTCAGGACATCGTTATCTCGGCTAATGGTAAGCGAACTCCAAGTCCGGCGAAGTAGTGGTCGAAGTAGTCGTTTCATGGCTGGGGATATACCTCTCCGGGTGTTTCGCCAGTGGCACCGATCGCTTAAGACATGATCACCGGTTGTCTCTCTCTCGACGTCTTTGTCTGAGCTAATGGTGTGGTGAATGCGAACTACAGGTGCCCTCAAACTGCCGGTGCTGTGGACTGGATGTCGAGATTGTCACTGATTTTTGTCAACAAGTGTTTTGGTTTATCACAGCCGTTCATAAACAACGTTACCATAAATATTGAGTTTCATAACAAATCCCCCGGTTTTGTTGGTGATTGGCCCTAAATATTATGTTAACTGTGATTATGATTGTGGTTACGACTCGCTGATTTGAGTATTAGATTAAATGACCCTGCTGTGTGGTCGTATAGTGTATGATTTATGGGGTTAAGTGTCATTTTTTGTATGATATGCATATAAAGCGATACTAATAATACATTTTTCAAAAGTTATGTTTTTTGGGTATTGTATTGAACTGTAAGGCGCTGTAAAAAACTGTTGGATACTATGGATACTATAGCTTAAGCCGTTATGGATTGTAAGGGTTTGAAATTTAATACTTTTAAACTTTTTTTTGATAAAATATGTATTTTGTATTTCTATAGAGATTTCAAAAGAGATGTAATAAATAATAAGTTGTGTTTTGATATGCATTTGCGATAATTTCGTGTATTGGATGTTAAAGGTCTCTCTCTCTCTCTCTCTCTCTCTCTCTCTCATGTATTGTGATTGTATGGATAGTATGTAGTGAATGACCATTCAGTCCACTCATACATAGACAACACACGGCACACACACTCCAACACAACTACCTATCCATCCATAAGTGTTGGAAGTAAT